CCAGAGGTGGTGGAGCCACTTGCACGCTCTTAAAACGCTCTCCTTTCTCCCCCTTCCGCTGCAGGTCTCGTAACCTCCAGTGCCAGCGGATTTTCCAGGTGAACGCTCCCATTAACTGTGTCTGCCTGCACCCCAACCAGGTGAGCACCGGCTCCTCTGTCATTTCCCAGCTCCTGCTTTTCTCGTGGCTCCTCCAGGTAAACCTGAGGGGCTGCGGAGTTTTATACGGGCGGACGCAGCGAAAAAATCTGAGGGCTGGCAGGGAAGGGTGGCCTTCTTGGTGGCACAGACCCGCGAGCTCTGGGTGGCATTGGTGGACAAGCAGTGGCCAGCTTTCCACACCCAGGCTGCCCGTTTGCCTGCTCCCTCGCTAAGCTGCTGCCACCAGGAGCTTTGAACGTGTGTGGGAAGGCAGCCCACGTGTCACAGGAGCTGCCACGACAGGCACCGACGCTGCTCTGTGCAGTGGAGACAACCTCCCCGAGCAGCGGTGCCGGGAGCGAGCAGGTACCGCAGGCTCACGTTGTGCCCGCGGCAGGCATCCAATTTGAGCTCATTTGCCAGCCGATGTGTTTGTGCTAATTATCTAGTGGTTGTGAGCCTGTCTTCCCGTAGGAGGGGACACTCCTTTGAGGCCATCTCTGTCCCAAGAACATAACCAAGGGGATGTGATGGGAGTGGAATTGGTGGCACGGGGCGGGCTGGGAAGCTTGAGGGTGGCACCGCTGCCAAGAAAAAGCATCTTGGGGCCCGTGGCTCCCGTTGTCTTTAGGACTTCAGTCAGATTTGGTCGAGATTCACCATTTGGTTTAGGAGCTGTCGATAAACAGAGGGATGGCTGGGGCTGGGGAGATGAGGCTGAAAGGGAGCACGGTGCATTAGAGGGGCCGGCAGTGAAAATCAATAGGTATCATGGCAGAGTTAATAACCCGTCTGGTCCGGGCTGTATTCCCAGTGCTGCAGGGTTTGGTTGCAGACGTGGCAGCACAAACCTTTTAAAAAGCTGAGTAATAGAAATGTTTCTTTGTGCATTTGATTTTGCAAGGTTTAATTTTGCAAGTCCAGCATTTCACATCGGATTTGAGATCAATTTTTGAACCAGGCTTTGCCCAAAGGCTGCTGATGCTCTTCTAGTGCTGGTGCCGTGAAAATGAATTACGTTAAAACAAATACCGTCGTATGTACATCTTAGGTGTGACGTAAGCACTAACCGAGACGCTGCTGAGTTACAGGAGAAGTGTTAGTTTGTGAGCAGAACGCAGTAAATGAGTCCAAAGGTGGCAGTATTTATTCAGATAGCTTCATCCCACAGCAAGCCCCTGCTGCAGAGATGCTGATCCAATTATCCAAGAGATTTCTCCTGGCCTGGGTAAAGCCATGATGGCTTTAGCAACTGCACTTACACCTGCTAAGAGGGGGCCAAGGAGGCATCCAGAAGATGCTGCTGCACTGTGCAGTCAGCTAAACGTATCGAGCGATGACTGTCTTCCTCGGAAGCGAGCCTTTGATCACAGGTACAGGATTAGCTGCGCCCGATGACCTGATCTCCTCTAGGGATTCTGCTAAAAATATGGACAGCACAAGACTGTCGATAAAAGCCCTGGTTTTAGTGGAGAGCCGCCAGCATTATCTTCTGCTCTGAGCAGAGGATCGGAGCCAGAACTCCTGCCCTTCAGCTGGCTTTTGTCCTTCCCCTGAGAAGGGGGGAGAGAGAGAAAAACCCATTTAGGCTTGTGTTTTTCAGGTATCTGTACAGTCTTGAGTGCTTCAGTTGTTCACTGGCCAACTTGCCTTTTAATGCCGGCGTCTCAGACGTGCTGAAAATAATTTGGCTTCTCTGGAGGTTGTTTGGAGCTGTGCAGCGGGTTCTGGAAATCAGGCGGCTGCTGTCTGCTCTGGGGTTTATAAAATTAGCAAACACTTCTGTAAAGGTAAACAGCCTTTTTGCGGAGAGTAACGTGAGATTAGTACTCTGCTTGCTCTCAGCATACAGGAGCGGTCAGCAGGCTGCTGGAGCTCTGAAACAGCCCTGTGCTGGGGAATAATTAGGCAGAACAGGACGCTGATACTTAAAACCAGAGCAGGACTCCATGTGGTGCTACACGGGCACGGTCTGGGCATTGGCTTGGGGCTGCTGCTCACGGGGTTCTCCCCAGAGAGATGAGGCTGCTGTTTTCTTGCAGGCGGAGCTAATTGTGGGTGATCAGAGTGGTGCCATTCACATCTGGGACCTGAAGACAGACCACAACGAGCAGCTGATTCCAGAGCCCGAAGTCTCGGTGAATTCGGTTCACATTGACCCCGATGCCAGTTACATGGCAGCTGTCAACAGCTCGGTGAGCTCCTGCGGCCTCAAACCTGGGATGGGATTTACGCTGCTCCGGCAGCTGCTGGGCTGTGCCTTCCACAGGCTATTTGCACCTACCAGCTTCACCCACAGCTTTGCTGTGCTGTGGTCAGACACGGACAGTCCGGGCTGCTTTTGGGTGGCCCAGACATAGATCTCCCTGTCTCGTCACAGGGAAATTGCTACGTGTGGAACCTGACGGGTGGCATTGGAGAGGAGGTGACCCAGCTGATCCCCAAGACCAAGATCCCAGCACACAACCGCTACGCCCTTCAGTGCAAGTTCAGCCCCGACTCCACGTGAGTGTGTGCCAGCCCCTCACCTGCCTTTCTGGGCTGGTGGAGACCAGCTGGATCTCCAGCTGTTGGCTGATGCTGGTTCTATGCAGGTTGCCCAGGAAGGAGGGGGACAGGGGACGCTGGCACTGGGTTGCTGTCGGTGGCATCCCAGCTTTGAGCTCTGTCAGCGAGCTTTGCAGCCACAAGCTGTTCTTAAATAGAATTGTTGATCTTGTGGAGCAAAGTTGTGAACTTGGTGAACTCCTTCACAGAGTCCATTTGGCCTGAATCTCATAGGGCAGATGATACAGGTGTAAAGAAATCTGATTACAACGAACGCAAGTTTCCAGTTGATTACTGTTCCAGGCCCTCATTAATGAGAGGCCCTTAGGCCTACAGCGGGACTAACGGCGTTGCCCTCACAACCTTATTCAGTTCTCTTCCTTGCAGGCTTTTGGCTACATGTTCTGCAGATCAGACGTGTAAGATCTGGAGGACTTCAAACTTCTCTCTGATGACAGAGCTGAGCATTAAGAGCAATAACCCAGGGGAAACATCCCGGGGCTGGATGTGGGACTGCGCGTTCTCCGGGGACTCCCAGTACATCGTCACAGGTGAGACACTGCTGCTCTCCTGCCCCTGCCCCACCGCTTGGCTCTGGGCTACACCAGGCCCCCAGCAGCAGGCCTGGACTTGGTGGTTTCTCTATCTGGGACACTGCCAATAGGGCATCTCTTTAAACTGGGGAGATCATCTCCTGTGTGCAGTTTATTTCACCTGCCTGCAGTACACAGCACGAAAGTCCTTTCAAAACATACGTGCTGTAATTTCTACAGTAACTTCTCTTCAAAATAATTAAAACCTCAGGTAGTGCAGAAATGCACTAAGCTTCTTGCTCTGCTCAGCTCCCTTACCTGTCATCAACAGCCCTAATAACGGTGTTGAGTGAAGCAAGAGGGAAGTCTTTCTTATAATAATAAAAGTTTAAAGGGTAATGCAATACATCTCACTCCTCTCTTCCCTTTCTGTTTCAGCCTCCTCTGATAATTTGGCCAGACTTTGGTGTGTGGAGACAGGAGAGATCAAGAGGGAATACAGTGGCCACCAGAAAGCAGTTGTCTGCCTTGCTTTCAATGACAGCGTGTTGGGATAATGGTTGTGTGTGGGAAGGAAAGGACCTCTGCTTGTTTTCCCTTGTCTTACAAGGGCAAGGACCTTCTCTGGAGCCCTTGTAACGATCCCTCCTCTGATGGAGAGGGCTTGTTCTCTGGCAGAAGCAGCCGTGTCTGCTTGGGGTGAGACCAGGCTTCAGCTCCAAGCAGATCATCACCGAAACACGTGTGGCCTCTCAGGGAGGCCACTTGGACAAAAGGGAAGGGGAGAGGGAGGCACAATCCCACTGAGGGGAACTGGGTATAGTTCAGGTGGAGGAATCCCTGTGGCATCAGCTGCTGACAGCTTTGTGGTTTTCTTGTACCCCAAAGTGGAAAAATAAAGAAATCAGCCTTTCTAAACGATGGAATTGGCTGAGCAAAGAGAGGAAAGGCAGCTGTTTTCTTGTTTTGCAATCCCTTTATTCAAAGTGTATTTCACAGACTGACTTGGAGAGCTGGAGTCTTACAAAGCCAACCACCCCCAACAAATTTAACAACCTTGTGTTGGACAGGGTGTGTAGCTGTGAAACACTAGCTACTCCACATGATTCCTCTAGGCCTGGATCTCCTAATACCTACGAACAAGATGCAGCCCTGGAGCACAGCTTCAAATAAAGTGTCTATACTGACAGTGCTGAACAGAGTCCTGTTATTTCTTTCTAAACTCTCCTGAACCGCAGCATGAAATCAGCAGGAAGCTTTTTTTTGGGGGGGGAGGAGGGATATTGTAGATGTTACCTTCCTTGTTGAAATCAGAGGCTTTTCAGGAATCCAGTTCAAGTATGTAGGGCAGCGAGAGGGCATCCGCAGCTGCCGGACTTACTCAGGGAGGTAATAGAAGCAGATTGACACACAAATGTTGCTGGGAAAACAGATGTCAATGCAAAGGTAGATGAGCCGCTGCTTCCCCGGACCTGCCAAACGAGCAAGGACAGAAGCAGGATGAGAGGAATGCTTTGCAAGGAAAGAAGCAGGATGAGAGGAATGCTTTGCAGTCCCTGCAGCTACGAGTCCCTGGGGAGCCAAACAAATGGAAAGCCTCGGGGAATGACCTTTCTCATTAAGGCTGGAGTGAGACAGAACAGAACCAGAGCTCGGCAGGCTGCTTTTGCAGAAGATGAAGGTGACAAATATTAAGCCAGCAGCATGGCAGGGGACTCTCTGTGGAGGTGTGCTGTGCAATCGGGGTGTGCTGCCCGGGGAAGGGGTGCGGAGCCTTTCCCAGCAGGTTGTGGGTTCAAGCCAGTGCTGGGCAATCGCTGAACAATGGTTTGATTTTGAACTGGAGGTCACCTGTCCCGGGCCTTGGCAGCCCATCCCAGGGCGGGCATCAGCTTTTGCACAGCAGAGCCTGCTCCTCTTAGATGTACTAGAAACAATCGTGCTTCCCTCTTCTGCAAAGGGACACGTGCTACTTACCCTGCCCTCTCCTGACCCAGAAGATGGATGTCTGCTCGCACAGGGCTTGGACAGCCTCCCCCAGGCTTTTGGGGTCCACTTTTTCCCCCGCCAGAATGCCCAGGAACTCCCGGTAGTACTTGGTCTGGTTATTCTGACGTAGCAGCTGATCGGTCTGAAAGAAACATCCCTGTTAATTCCTCCCGAGGCACTTAGCCCCTCCTGGCACTGCCCTCTGGCCCCACAGACCTGCTCTCGCTCTCAGGGTACCCAAGGAGCAGTCTGCACCCTGGCAGCAAAGGCAGGTTTCTCCTCGTGGCTGCTCTGTCCCACCAGGCTGCTGGGATGTTCGCTTTGACCAGAGCAGCTTCCCAGGGGCAAGGCTGGAGCATGGACAGCCCACTTTGGAAGCAGGGGATGCAGTTCCTTCCAGACCCCTCCCTGGGCTACTTTGTCCCCAGGGCTGGAGCTAAAACACCCCATTGTGCCAGGTGTCAACAGCCACAGCCCGCTGGCATGGGTCTTGACCCATCTGTGTGTGTGCAGTACCATCACCATCCCCAGGCTTTGGCTGCATCAGAGCCGTGGTGACCCACAGCAGCCCTGTGTCCCTTTTCCACACACAGTGGCAGAGCGTCCAGCAACCGGGTGTGATGCAAATCAGCATCCTTCAGCCCCGTGGTGGCTCGGGCAGGACAAGGCTGAGCTGAGGCTTCTCAATGCCAGGTCCCATTCAATGGCCAACTGGGCTACTGGCTGCCGTGGCACCACCACCTCTTTTACTTCCATTATTGAGCCTCAGAGCAGGGCAAGTGCTGTCTTCTCCTCGCACCCCATTTGGTAGCCTGTTCTGATGAGTGCTGTGTTCCTACACTCCTCTTGGTTAAACGCTGCCCATCGCTTTCCAGCTGAGTGGCAGTGACAGGCGAGGGACAAGGAGCCCTCAGGAGCCCCAAGGAAACGGAGAGCAGATGGTAGGGGCACAAAAAAATGGGGCTTTCTGTCTTCTTGAAACAGAATCTGCCCCCTGCCCATGCATCCATTAACATTTTGCTCGGAGGGTCCGTATACATGGTTTATTCCAACTTTTTCCCCTGTGAATTGCTAACAAACCCCCTTTGTTTTTTTGTTCCCTGGAATTTTGAGCATGTAACAGAATCCAGTGGGAGCGGGTCCTGTGAGAGCCCTGCTATTCACCTCTGTGGGACATATCCCCCTTCCCCAGCCCATCACTCTGCTGTTTCTCAGAAGATAAGGTATCGGTAAAACCGGGAGTTGCTGCTCTGAGCTCACACGTTGTGAACCCAGCACTGCAAGGCAGAGCTCTCCTCCTCCACAGAACACCAACCCAGCCCTTCCCCAAGAGGACTCTCACAAAATAGTGGGCTGCCACTGCTACTGTCCAGCTGGGAGAGTCCCTGCCCTCCTTTAGCCACACTTGGGATGCTGATGTGGCAGAGTCACCACTGTGAACACAAACCCATGAAGGAAAGGGCCTTCAGCAAGCTGTGACTCCATACAAAGCCCAATTCATCACCCCAGTCTGTTCAGCCACCCCAGAGAACACTCCCAGCGGCCACTCACTGTTTGCTCAGACGTGTTGAGAGATGTCTGCAGGGTCTGGAGGTCCCAGGCGTCCATCCTCCTCAGGTAGCATGCGTGCTGCTCCACCGGCTTGTAGCACACGTAGCCCTGCAAGACAGATCATGCCCTGTTACTGCAGGCAGCGACACGCAAAGCTGTCTTTAGAGCCAAAAAAATGGACGTTCCTCTTGCCCAGTGTTATCTTTCCTAACTAAAGGTGCAGAGAAAGGCACTAAACAGCTGGTTGATGTTTTTCCTGGTCTACACCTCCTGCTCCCACCCCAGCAGCTCTTCTCTCAGCAGCACACACATCCCCGCTAGTGAGGCAGGTAATTATCCCTACACACTTACGTTCCTGCTGTCGTACAGCACCACGGCGGTGTGGTTACTCTGCGAGGTTATGTAGTAGGTGATGGTGCTCCTGGACTTGTCCACCAAGGCTGTCTGGTTCCTCAGCGGGTCCTGCTGGCCCTGGAGCGCGAGCCGGACGAGCTGTGAGCCAGCCTGGGCACAAAGAGAGAGAAGGCAGCAGCATCCATCATCTGTCCAGCGCTTGTGCGCAGCATCTCCCCACTGACATCCCCACCCAGCCCCTTCACTGGTCCTTCTTGCTTCTCTGAATTATTCAGCAACAGAGAAAAGCAGGCTCTGACCCAAGGGAGGAGGGCAGGTCTGGGAAGCAGATCTCTCTCCATCACACAGGGCTTGGGGAGAGGTGCTGGTGCCCCTCACCCTGATGGCACCCACCCTGCCTGGGTGTTGCTGGAGGACAGGACAGGGGACTCAGCAGCCTCTGCCACAGCCACCCACGGGCAGCAGCATCCATCATCTGTCCAGCGCTTGTGCGCAGCATCTCCCCACTGACATCCCCACCCAGCCCCTTCACTGGTCCTTCTTGCTTCTCTGAATTATTCAGCAACAGAGAGAAGCAGGCTCTGACCCAAGGGAGGGGGACAGGTCTGGGAAGCAGATCTCTCTCCATCACACAGGGCTTGGGGAGAGGTGCTGGTGCCCCTCACCCCGGAGGCACCCACCCTGCCTGGGTGCTGCTGGAGCTACTCAGCAGCCTCTGCCACAGCCACCCACGGGGGGAGGCTGGGATCTGCCTCCCCTGCCAGGACAGCTCGTTAGCAGCAGACACGCTCCCCCCTCCTCTCGGAGGCCACAGCCACACGTCGGAACGTGCCTGCTTAGCAAAATCCCTGCTTGCGGCTATATTTACAAACTGTGTGCTGAAGTTCCTTTAATTTGAGCATGGGTTTCTGGCAGGCACGTTGCAGGGGTGAGACAGCCATGGCTCCACTCGCTGCCTGCAGTGCTGCCGGCACCTTCCTGCCCTTCTGCCTGCAACGGGGGGGAAACCGGCCAAACCCAGCCCTGATCTCAGCCCCTTCCCTCCTCCCGGCACAAATCAGGGCTGTGGGTAGGAGTTTTCCTGCCTGGATCGGGATCCCTTACCTCGGCAGAGCTGGGGGAGAAGCTGAGAACCCCAACAACGCTGATGCCAACAATTGCAAAAAACAAGGCAACGGACAAGATGATCCAGAAGGTCCTGGATGGAGCTGTGGGGTGCACTGCCGCCCTCCTGTCCTGGGAACCAAGGCAAAAGAAGGAAAGAACAGGAGTTAAATTTAACCCTTCTGCTGATTATTCACCATAAAACCCACTTTCCCCTCATGACAAATCACTGTGCCAGGGTTGGGACGCAGAATTGCCAGACCATTGCAGCAGCCCCAGAATAATGTCACTTTTACCCCACAGCGATGGGGTTTCAGACCCGACAGCCCTGTACCCAGCACTCCCGCAGCCGAGCACTCTCCTCCTGCTGCCCGGGCAGCAGGCGAGCACCGCACACCCGCCGGGGAAGGGCTGGAGCAGGAGGATTTCTGCAAACAGGGGCTGCTGCTGTGCTTCAGCAGCAAATCAAATTATTTTGGTTTATAGCAGGAATCCCCAAGAGAACCATCAGCATTTGAAACAGGCTCTGAGCGGAGTGATCCTGTTTCCTTGCCCCTCCAATGTGTTTGGTTGTATTTTATTTTCTTGATAAGTTGTTCTCCATGCAGACCACGCTGTTACTTGAAGCAAAAGAGCTTGGCAGTCATGCAGCACTTCCAGTGGCTCGATTAAAATTCACTTTAATTCTTCTATTGAAACTATTCAATTTAACTTAATGGCACATAGAAAAACATTTTTTACAAAACAGAAGGAATGCGCTTTCAATAGCAGAGATTCAACCACACTTAAAAAAAACATAATCTGTTTCTCAATCTTCTGAAGCACACAGAATAATTCAATAAATGCCCAGGGTTGGATTTGCTGCAGCTGCACAAGGAACAGGCTCTTCAAGCCTCTGGGTCAGTTACTGATCTTTTTCGGCTACACACAACTTCCAGATATATTTCACTAGAAAAAACAATGAGTCTTAACAAAGTTAAAACTGTGCTTAGCCGAAATCTTATCAATTCAAATGCAATAGAGCCCCAGCCCTACAGCAACGGGCAGGTTTTCAATAGCTAACGAAATTCCCTGGGGTGGGAAAGGTGCAAATAAAGAAATCCAGCGACTCCTGTGCCTCGACAGGCTGCAGTCCACGTGTGCTCAGGCATCCCGAGTGGCTCTTTGGCATCTCCAACCTGACCACGCTGCCCTGCCCTGTGACACAATCGGGTTATGCCGTGTAGAGTCTGGGCATTTACAAGAAAATCCAGCTGATGGAGTCAGCTGCCGTACAAGGAGCTGAGCTGTGAGGGGCTGAAGTTGGGGATGGGCAACATCTCACCAGGATCTACAGGAATGGCAGGAGCTCAGCCCCTTCAAAAGAGGAATCAAGCAAGCAGAGAGTGGGAACTGTGGGGGGACACTGGGGATACTCACTGCAGGGACAGCATCGCCGGTGCTGTTCCTACCCTCCATCCTCCGCTTCAGGCGAGGAGCTCGTTCCTGCAGCTCTGCCGCCCGACGACACACGGGCTGTGCATGATCCCCAGAGCCAGGCGCGCCTGGGAAACCTAAGTGTGCACCTGCCAAACGTAAATAGGTGTCCCTGGCAGCCAACGGGCTGCCCAGCCAGGAGCTCCTCAACCCAGACCTACAGGAGGGTGAAACCTTAGAGCTGCCACCTGGAGAGAGGAGAAGGGAAGAGGGGGGTAAAGCCCAGGGCTGTCGAGCGATGCTGTCAGTGCACAGAACCCCTCTTCCTGCTCACCTTGCAGGTGGAGGACAATCAGGGGCCTTGTGTCAGCCCTCCCTGCTGGCAGGGCCGGGTAAGTCTCGTTAAGAGATACAATGAATAGAGAAAAGTGGCAGCCTGCCCTTGTCATCACTTATTTCTACATTTCAACATGAGCTTTGTGCTGCCGGAGCTCCGTGGGCTGAAGCCAACTGTTTATCCCGCAGGCTGCTGCCCTGCAAGCCTTGGCTGCACAGATGTGCTCGTGTTCCACCTAAAGACCTCGCTGGGTCCACACGCCAAGGAAAAGCATCGCCAAAGTCATCGCCACAACCTGAGCTGCACTCATGCTCACACCCACATCCTGTGATGAGAAACACCCCATGGGGAACACAGATCCCAGGTCGCCAGACCATGGTTTTCCTGAGCCACCCAGGAGCCCCCGGGAGAGCCTTGTCGTTTTGAGATCTGCTGGCCAGACGTAACCGACGGAATGGAGGCGAGGAAAAGCTCAGCAGAATTCCTTCATGTTACGAAAACACAGCTTTCAGACATTTTCCTATCAAATGGGGCCTGGGACTGATCAAACTCAGCCGAGAGGGTGGCTCATCCTGGAGTTTCTCATCATCAAAGCACTAGGAACCCCTCTCCCTGCTCACCCTCTTTCCTTCTGTAAAGTTTAAAATGAGCTATTTCAGTAGAAAATCGCCATCTCGTTCCAGCACGCTGCTTCTGTGGGACATGAACTCAAAACTCTGGACAAATACACACCTGAAGGTCAGGTGGGCAGCGAGAGCCAGCCAGCCGTCACGGGCACTGCTCTGAAGCAGCAAAACAGAGACTATCGCCAAAGTCATCGCCACAACCTGAGCTGCACTCATGCTCACACCCGCATCCTGTGACAAGAAACACCCCATGGGGAACACAGATCCCAGGTTGCCGGACCGTGGTTTTCCTGAGCCACCCTGGAGCCCCCATGAGAGCCTTGTTTTGAGATCTGCCGGCCAGACGTAACCAACGGAACGGAGGCGAGGAAAAACTCAACAGAATTCCTTCATGTCATGAAAACTCAGCTTTCAGACATTTTCCTATCAAATGGGGCCTGGGACTGATCAAACTCAGCCAAGAGGGTGGCTCATCCTGGAGTTTCTCATCATCAAAGCACTAGGAACCCCTCTCCCTGCTCACCCTCTTTCCTTCTGTAAAGTTTAAAATGAGCTATTTCAGTAGAAAATCGCCATCTCGTTCCAGCACGCTGCTTCTGTGGGACATGAACTCAAAACTCTGGACAAATACACACCTGAAGGTCAGGTGGGCAGCGAGAGCCAGCCAGCCGTCACGGGCACTGCTCTGAAGCAGCAAAACAGAGACCGCAAGGCAGCGGCGTCCCGCACTGCAGCTCCAATGAGAACAAAAGTGGTGTCAGAAGAGTCAAAACCCCCCATCCCGCTCGTGCAAACCGGTGTTACAGAGAGCAGGCAGCGCTCCTGCAGCAGGGATTAGCACGAGAGAGTTGAAAAATTCACTGCCACACACAGACGGGGTGTCCTCCCCACAGAGATTTTAACAGCCACACAGCAGACGCTTCCCTTCTTTAAGAAATTTATGCCCTGCTGAATTTAAGGCTCAGGAACAAAGCAAAACCCTCTATAAACTGTTTTTGAAAGGATTATTGCAAAGGGCAAAGTGTTCTGCTCTGTGCTGTGCTCTCACTCAAAGGAGCAAACCCCAGTCCACGCTAAGAGCCCTGCACAGCTCTGGTGCCTGAAGCAAAGAAATACACTCCAGAGCTTGGATTTCTTTCCCTGATACTGCACATAAGGAGTAAAGATGATACACACAAACTGCATCCCTAATTCCCAGGATACCGACACAATGCAGCTGCACCAGAGCTCATAGAGAATAGACTACAAAATAAGACAACGCCAGAGGAAAGCAGGTTTCTAAGTTTAATGTGGATTCAAGTAGAGGCTTAAAAACCGTTTGGAAGTTGATACAGAGTTTAGAAGCACGATTTGACCAGGCAGTGCTCCTGCAGCAGGGATTAGCACGAGAGACTTGAAAAACTCACTGCCACACACAGACGGGGTGTCCTCCCCACAGAGATTTTAACAGCCACACAGCAGACGCTCCCCTTCTTTAAGAAATTTATGCCTTGCTGAATTTAAGGCTCAGGAACGAAGCAAAACCCTCTATAAAACATTGTTTTTTGAAAGGATTATTGCGAAGGGCAAAGCGTTCTGCTCTGTGCTGTGCTCTTACTCAAAGGAGCAAACCCCAGTCCACGCTAAGAGCCCCGCACAGCTCTGGTGCCTGAAGCAAAGAGATACACTCCAGAGCTTGGATTTCTTTCCCTGATACTGCACATAAGGAGTAAAGATGATACACACAAACTGCATCCCTAATTCCCAGGATACCGACACAGTGCAGCTGCACCAGAGCTCATAGAGAATAGACTACAAAGAGCCCTGCACAGCTCTGGTGCCTGAAGCAAAGAAATACACTCCAGAGCTTGGATTTCTTTCCCTGATACTGCACATAAGGAGTAAAGATGATACACACAAACTGCATCCCTAATTCCCAGGATACCGACACAATGCAGCTGCACCAGAGCTCATAGAGAATAGACTACAAAATAAGACAACGCCAGAGGAAAGCAGGTTTCTAAGTTTAATGTGGATTCAAGTAGAGGCTTAAAAACCATTTGGAAGTTGATACAGAGTTTAGAAGCACGATTTGACACCTTCACCATTTCAGCATTTCAGTACATTTCAGCATTTGTGAATCGAGGTAATGGTTCCCTTGTCCAGTGCTCGTCAGGGACAGCGCGCTGCTTGAACGAGGCCGAACGCCTCTCCTGGCATCTACTACTTAACTGGACATATTCTGAAATTATAAGCACCAGATACAGGAACTGAATCAAAGAACACATCATTTTCGGACCCTACCTGCAGCAATCCCATAATGTCCATTTCCACGTTACCCAGATAAAGTGAAAGTTCTACCTCTAAGCATTTCTCCGTGACTGTGTAAGCCTTGTAGCTGGAGACAGGAAGTACATTTCAGCATTCGTGAATCGAGGTAATGGTTCCCTTGTCCAGTGCTCGGCAGGGACAGCGCGCTGCTTGATTTCAGCATTTCAGTACATTTCAGCATTTGTGAATCGAGGTAATGGTTCCCTTGTCCAGTGCTCGTCAGGGACAGCGCGCTGCTTGAACGAGGCCGAACGCCTCTCCTGGCATCTACTACTTAACTGGACATATTCTGAAATTATAAGCACCAGATACAGGAACTGAATCAAAGAACACATCATTTTCGGACCCTACCTGCAGCAATCCCATAATGTCCATTTCCACGTTACCCAGATAAAGTGAAAGTTCTACCTCTAAGCATTTCTCCGTGACTGTGTAAGCCTTGTAGCTGGAGAGAGGAAGAGGGAAGAGATTATCCGTGTCCCTGGTTACCAAGGAACACCCTTTTACAAAATCAACTAATATTCTGGTAACTCCAAAAGACAATACAAACTGCACGGTTATTGCTGTACAAACAAGGTGGCAAGTCTACTCGTTTCGAGTGTCCGAGTGGAAGGAAATGGCATCGACACACTGCTAGAGCTGTTCAGCTGAACAGTGGGAGATGAAGGAAGGCCAGTGCTTAAATTTATCTGCCGATAGTGGAATCTATTGAATAAAAGCATGTTATTTGCATATATAATTTCTCACCTAATTCTGTAACGCAAAAGCTTTCAACTGTGGCCTTCGATTCAGCCAGCACAAAAACCTACCCCGTCGCCTGAGCCGTGCACCACCCAAACCCACCTAAAGGTCAAAATGAAATCATCACCTGAGCAAGCAAGCACTCCTCTCCAGACAGGCAACTGGTGCCAGGCCCCCGCGCCAGACACGCGTGGAAGATATTAACTTCAGGTGTTTAAAGGAAGCACGTGCCACCGTCACACAGAGCCAGTACGCTCACAGGCTTGTTTCAGTGGAAAGCTGTACTGTGTGCTCCATCCATCCCCCCAGGACTGAGCGCCAATTCAGACTCTGCAGCTAAAGCCAAGGCAAGCGGCTGTTCTGATGCTGAGGGAAGTACAAGAACAAACTGGGTACTAATCCAGTTATTTCCGGGAAGCAGCAGTAGTGAAGGACGTCCTATGTGGTCACAGACTTTCTGCATCACCAAATGCAAAAGCCTAGGAGAATTAAACCTACTGTGAGCAGTACATTCCTCCTATCCTCCCTTCTGGGACACAAGATATATTATCATATACTATACTTAAATTTATATCTTAAATATATTCTGATATATATTTAGGATTGGGGTAGTTCTTGTATGTACATGTACTTTACACATACATCCAACGCTTGGACAAATACAGTACACAGAAGACACCGTTTGTGTTCTGTGAGTGGAATCACACTAATCTGCATCACAAGTGCAATTTGCAATGGTCAAATAAAGGAGACAGATTTCAGCTTCTGTCACCTGATGTCACGCTTGCAGTGGGCTGCGCTGCTAAACAGGACCCCATCCAGAAAAGAAAAAAATAATAATAAAAAAAATCAGCCTAAGGGCAAGCAGTAATTCCGCCAGCCACCACAAGCGTTTCCAAACACAGCCGCTAAGTTACTTCACACTCCAAGAGTCTTTTCCCTGAATAAACCAGACTGAGCCACAGCCCGTCCAGGCGAGGACACACCGCAAGACATGGGGTTATTTTCCTCAGATCAATCAGCTCTACTTTCCTCAACTCAGTCCAGAGGACAACGTGACATCGAGCATCACAAACATTTGGATAGATGTGTTGCTTATAATTTAAAAAAAAGCCCCAAGCCCACAAGACGTGGGTGACACCATAATGCCCTCTTTGTTTCAAAGTGCATTTAAAGACCAAGATGTAAACAAAATCATATCGGGAGGACAGAAAGGTTAAAAAGCTAAGGGTTGCTAACTCCGGGTGGTATCCTAGTGAGCACATTACTGTCACAAGGTGATTAACAGGGGCCCTCCTCGGGGTAGCGCTGCAGAGGCTGCAAGCATTTTGCTATATTAATCCCCCAGAGCGGGGAGAAGGTCAGCTATGCTATCGACATAGTAATCGGGAACCAGGCTCTGCCTGGCAGGACAGTCGCTCTCCTGGTGACCTTTCACTTCATCCAGCGTGGTGACCCCGGTGAGCGTCAGCAGGGTGGTGAGGCCGCAGCTATTGCCCATGAGGATGTCTGTGTCCAGCCGATCTCCCACCATGATGGTACGAGCAGGGTCGATGTTGAACTCGCTCACCACGCAATCAAACATGTACCGGTTGGGCTTTCCTACAATGAACGCCTCGCGTTGGGCTGCCGTCTCCACTGCTTTCACCAGGCAGCCAGTCCCTAGGGAGAGAATAGAAAACATTGATTAGAGAAGACTCTCGGCATCCACACGAGCTGCTACAAAACCACACAGTGCTTTGGAAACACGATGTCTCAATTTTACAGACAGAACGGAAAGAGGAACAAGTTAGTCCCAAGAAAGGAGGTGCATAGTAGCTGCCAGGAGGCTGGAACACCATCCCACATGGAGATCAAAAAGGAACCGCTATTTCCTGAGTAAAGGATCAAGGATTCTCCGAGGAGCAGGGGAATCCCAGGCTCCTCTCTGCCACGCTGAGTGCAATGAGATGCAGGGTCGAGCCCGCGGGCGAGCCCCAGAGCCCGGGGACTCGCCACGGACAGCTCCAAATGGCCCGGGGCCACTTCCCCGCACCCGCCGGGCAAGCGCGCAAGGTTCCCGGACCCCCCCCGGCCCCGCATCCCCCCCATCCCGCGCACCGGGGATGCCGGTGCCGCCCTCGAGCGGGAGCCGGTGGTCGCGGTTGGTGCCGACGAGGAGGCAGTCGGAGCCGCCGCGCAGGAGGTAGCGCAGGGCCTGGCACAGCTTGGCGTAGCTGAAGTGCTCGTCGAAACCGACCAGGACGGCGCGCACGGCGGGGTCGAGTGGCGCCTGGGCCCAGTCGGCGGGCGCGGGGCCGGGCAGGGCGGCGGGGCCGGGCCCCAGGTGCGGGATACCGACGGCCTCCAGCTCGGCGGCGAGCGCGGGGCTGCCCAGCACGTAGGCGGCGGCGCCGGGCGGCAGGGCCTGGCGGAGGTAGCGGGCGGCACAGAAGGCCGAGCCGAAGATGTGGCGGGGCTCGGCGGGCGGAAAGCCCAGCCGCCGCAGCTTCTCGGTGTAGGCCACACGCGTCCGGCTACTGTTGTTGGTCACGTAGCAGAGGCGCTTGCCCGCCGCCGCCAAACGGCCCAGCGTCGCCGCCGCGCC